TGTGCCATGTATGACTTGTCGTGTGCTAGGTAGAGCTCAACAAACTCTATCATAAAGTCAATTTGAAATTCCGGTCAAGATCAATAGCAGCGAAGGACAAATCAAACTACAATTTCGTATCATAGAGAAAAATAATGAAATCTAAAATTTTCTAAAACAATTCGAGCCAGAACCCATACCACTGTTCAAATTTATGCCATTCGACGCGTCTCGATGTCCTACATCTAATGGTATCAATACAATCCTAATCAAACCAACTCATGAGACCTTCAAACGCCAAAAACGTAAAAAAAAAAATACTATATTATGATGTAATTCCAGTAACTATTCGTTCAGTAACTTGTACCATATGCCAAATTGATTCTATTCGATTCATGTTGATGAGTTCTATCGAATGATATATATTTCAACTCTTACTGAGTAAAATCTCCATGCTCAAAATTTTTCAAAACCATAGATATATGTAGCAACAGAATATGTCCATTATACAGCAGAATTTCTCTTTTTCTGTTTAAATTTTCTAGGATTTTGTTCGTCCTTTGTCTACAGTTTCATTAAACCTTTTTCGTTTGTAACTAAATAATTCCTTATTTCAAAAATGCCATTTTAATATCGTCTGTATTCTTGCGATATTTATGAAACATAAGGGATTTTTATTTGCACATACTATTCAAACATATGCACAGACACTATATTCATTATGTTTGAAAAGTTTTTTACGTATATATGCAAGACTACTTTTTCTTTTCATCATTCACTATCTCTGCACTACTGTTAAATAATACGATCATCATCAAATGAAAACTCTGTCAATAATGATTTGCTTTCTTCATCTTATTTTTTTGTGGAAGAGAAAATCTTGTTGATGTTATGAATCAAATGGTGAGCTTTTTTTCTTTGAATTACTCAATCAAGTGGTAGATCTCAATATGAGTTATCGAATAGAGTCAAACAATCACTGGAAATAAAACCGCCCACACTCAAACTTTGTGGATATTAATTCATCATAGCATCACGATCCTTTCTTTATTCATAAATAATGACTTTTAATTCATGCATTAATATTGAGTTCATGAGATAAATGAACTACAAAATAATTCGACATTTCTAGATTTTTTACAGACAAATTTATTTGTGAGATCTGGTAAAATATAGATGAGTTTAATCAAAATATCCTAAACTTTACTAACTTATAGGCAAACATATAATAATCTGTAAAAGCCGATCATAGTCTGCAAGGTCTTGCTTTCTTTGTGTATGGATATAGGATGTTACAACACACACCCACACCCTAATTTGAATAATTGATATATCTTATCGTCATATTTCTTGTTGGTATTCAACAATAAATAGATGAAATACAGAAAACAGCATTTTAAATTTTCTCTAACCCAGTTTTTATGGCAATAATTCATCTTTGCGAAATTTCGTTTTGTTTTTTTCGATATAATTTATTCTATCAACTGGTTGTTCATTAAATCAAATTTGAACAAGACAGATACATCATTGATAAGTATTGATATCGATTATTCAGTTATATGAGGTTTACATGAACATTTACACGATGAAATTTTAATACAGTGTGTCTTCATAGAACAGTTTACTATACTGTTTGTTTTCCTCTAAGAAAATTTATGTTTTGCTAGTTTTCAAGTTGCCAAACAATAAAATGTTTAATAATAAAAAAAAAGTCATCTGATAAAAAAGAATCAGAAAAATCATTACTTGTTTAGATGAAAAACAAAAATATTTCAAAATCATAGCACATACAATTTATAAAAACCAATAGAAACAAAAAATCAACAGCATTTAATGTTAATATTAATTTTACTCATTATCTTCTTGTTCAATATGAACGATTTCTGTTGAATTTGATTTAATCTTAAATGGTAATATTGTATGTGTTTCTATTATAGAATTCTTATTGATTGTATCAATTAAAATTTCATAATTTTTATAAAATTCTTCACATGTTATACTATTTTCTTCTTTAAAATTGTTTGCTAAATTTAATTGTTGTTCATTCATATATAATTTAAGTATATCAGGTTTACATGGACATTCAAAATGAACACAATGAAATACTTCATTAGCTGTATTATTTGTACCACATATACGTATAAATACGACAATACGAGGTGAAAATGTTAATATTTGCCATGATCTATTATAAATAAAAATTTTATAATGAATAGAATTTTGAAGAAAACTTTGTTTTTTTTTTTTTTTTATTACCGGCAAGCAATATTTCGTTTATCGACAACTTTTGACCATGTTACATTATCATATGATGTTTCAATATAATATGAATATGAGCGATTATCACAATCCCATAATAATAATCTTTTATAAGAGAAAAAACAAATATCGATAAATAAATTTTAATTGATTTTTAGACAAATGAATAAATGCTTGTCTATGGACTCAAAGAAAACTACTCGGATCAATATTCGTCGAAATTTTGAGTAAACACCTCATTATAATTGAGGTTTCTGGTTGATTCATATGAGCTCAAACGATGGGTACTAATACAATTGATGCCTTGATGATCTGATATTGACCATCGAATTCTTTTCATATGAGTAGAAAATTTTGAAAACCTAGTTTTATCTTTTTCAATTTATTTAAACTTACATAATGTAAAAACAGACTTCTTACAAATTCATTCGATAGAATAAATGATAAACATCTAAACTTATCAAGATCTTCTTTTAATAGATATATATTCTTAAGAATGACTATTTGATAATTTTTTCATGCCAAAAAAAAATAAAATTGTACCTCATTGAACTGACAACATATGGTTGACATAATTGAATAACAATACCACCTGAACCAATTTGATGACATGTATAACCTAATAAAATCAAAGAAAAAAGTAGATTTTTCGATTTATTTTAATTTTAATTAACCTGTATCCCAATCATATGATTGATAATCTCCATTAATAAGTGCATTTCTTATACGACTAACACCTTCCGATACAACAGCACTACTTTCAATAGTTGCAATATTTTCTATTGGAACTAAATCAACAAAAAAAAAAAATGAAACAATTTAATATCTTTTATTATTGTTTTTTTTTTTTGTAAAATCTAACCATGAATATCTTCAATAAGTGCAAATGATTTTTGTTTATAATAAACTTCCATTGAAACAAGATGAAAAACTTTATTTACAGTATTATATGTTCCAACAATTCGAATATAACTAAATTAATAAAATTCTTTGTATATGTCTTTTTCTTATAATTTATAAAAATACCTTGCGACAATAGGTGAAAAATATAATTTTTGCCATGAACGACATAAATATAAACGATAATCAATAATACGTGTCCAAGTTATATTATCAACTGATACTTCAATATAATATGAATAAGCACTAGAAAAAAAAATATTTTATTTCAAAAAAAAAAATTTATTTCAAATTATATAATCAAATTTACCGAGTATCTTTATCCCATAAAAGTAATTTAATATGATTTATTATTGATGGTCCATCTAATTTAACACAAATATTATGTACATCATCAATAAGATGTCTTGTATAACCACGATCCTAAATCAAAGGTTATGTCCAAACAAAACAATAATTTTATAGAATGTAAAACAAACTAAATCATAGTTGATAATATCACCATCCAGTAAAGATTGTTTCACTTCTCCTACGAGAAGAAAAACAAAAAATGAATAACATATTTAATTAATAAAGAAATCTTTACTAATAATTAATTAACTCAAAAGGATAAATATAGAAAGTGTACAATGTACTTATAGTATGATTAAATTCTTCTTTTTTTTTTTTGTTTCTATCATTTCTTTCGATTTTATCTTAGTTGTTACCTTCAACTACTTGAGCATCATAAGTTTTTGTAGCTATATTTTCATTTAATCCTAAAATAAATACAAAAGAAACTTTTTAATTTTAAAAACATAAAATTTCAATAATTACTTACTTAATCGTCCACGATAATTTTTACAGTTATTTTTATTATTATTAACATTAATTAATAAATTTGTTTCACTATGAATTATATCAATAGCATCCATTATTTGATTAAGATCAAATAAATTTGAATAACGTACAATTTTTAATAATTCACTCATTGACATTAATATTAATCGTATTTTTGATACAATATTATCAAATGGTTTCCATTGATCTTTTTGATTAAAATAATAATAATCATGCCAATTTTTAACAGCATAAAATATTTCAATTTCAGAACAATAAAATGAATCACGAGCAATAATTAATGATAATGCTTCCTAAAATTTTATCACAAAAAAATATTTTACATTCTATAACTATAGACAAATAAGTCTCTAATGTTAATATGATAGATAATAAAGTAAAACACAAGCCTAAAAGTTTCTGTATCAAATTAAAAAACTAACTGAACTTTTTGTTGGTATAAATTTCTAATATACCTTGACAATTAATTAGACATGCTCTAATTCATGTCATATATATATATACTCTTTCATCTAGAATTAATTACAATGACAAAATAGATTTTGATGTCCGAGACATAATTAGAAATGATTCTCTCAGGAGACAAAAATAAATTATGAGAAAGTCAGTGTTATAAAGACAAAAATAAAAATAGTGTTGCCTATGAATATCATGAATTCAAGTTTAGAAGTACATGCATGATAAAAAACACTCGCTTTTTTTTTTTACGTTTCACTTCATAACATTACGTGCCAGTCATATAAAGAACACATACTTCAATGTAAATGATCAATATAAAACAGTAATCAAGTATATAAGAATTAAGTCATGACTTTTTTTGTTTCTTATGGTGTCGAGACATTGCTCTTGCATAGAATATGCAAACCATATATCTGCAAATCGCATAGACTCACTATCATGTTTTCTCTTCTTTACGGAATGATGAAGTATCACGAGTTTTTCCTATCTACAAGCAATACTGTCCCCTTTTTTTTTTATGCAAGAAGACAGAGTTACATCTATAATATTCACTGATTTTTTTATTAGTTCATATATTGAGAAATAGTAGATATAAGAAGTACACCATAGAAAAAACAATAGAGATAATAATCTGATAGTATACTAGTGAAAGTTTTATATATTTTGATTGATAACAAAAAAAAAAAATACGAATAAATATAGTGAAGAAATATATTTCAAAAAAAAATAAAAGAAAAGAAAATTAACTTCCGTTGATTAGTAATAGTAACTTTTTAAAGTATAATTACCGTCAAATGAAATATGTAAAATTTCTTTTTTTTTTTTTGTTTTTAAAATATTTGAAAAAAAAATTGTTTTGAATTCATTTATGTTCATTATAGATTTTTATTTGAAAATTCAACTCGATCTTTTTACATCTTATACACATTAATTATTTGAATTTTATCAATATTAATATGAAAGGTATGTCATTTCAATTGAATTTTCTTTAGAAAAAATTGTCAGACAAATTATATCTTGTATGATTTCTTTGAAAAATATTTAGTCATAATTTGATATGACATTTTATTTTTTATAGAATAAGTCTTCTAGAAGGTTGTCAGTTTCCTATTGTATTAGTTGAATAAGATTGAAAAGTATCTTGTAACATAATCTATTTCTAACATTTATATATCAAATTGAATTTGAATATTTTTCTTATTTTACAATGATTAATGACTTAAATTTGTCTTTTAATCATACAAGTTTTATATTTCTAAGCATAGACATTTATCTAAAAACATAAATATAAATTACTTGAACTTGTTTAAAAAGAAAAATATTCACGTTAATGTCATGATGAACTTTTTAAGATATATTATATTTTATTTAATGTCATAGAAATGAAATGAATATTATGATTTATATAACTTAAGATTTCGATTGTATATAGAGGAATAGAATTACATAGAGTGGAAATAAGAAGCAAGACAAAGATCGTATAAGATCTTCATGTACGAAAATAATAAATGAACATCTTTTGTTTTCGTTAGTTATCATATTTCTTTGTAAACAAGATGAAGATATATGATTATCATGTTGAACTATGTTAAATGTCATATTTCTCGGAGTACCATTGTATTTATTTAATCTGAATACTTAATAAATTTATAAAAATAAAAAAATAGCTCGTCTCTTAAATCATTTTTGTTTCTAAGATGAGATAGTTGTTTAATGAATAAAGTATTATTGTCAATAGTTCATTGAAATGTTTTCTTAGATGTATTAGTATTTTTATAATCAATAATTATGATTTATTGAAATGAATCAAATAGATTTTTTTTTTATAATCCTGATTGACATTATCTTTTTGTTTTTTTTGTATGTATTACCTTCGATTTTAATTATAATATAGAAATATATCGTTTATGAAAATAATCTCAAAATCTTATTGATTTAATTTTAATAACAATAATTATTCTTATTCGAATAAGAAAACTTACAGATGATAATGATAAAAATTCATTTGTTTTGATTATTTCTTTTGCATGATTATCAATAAATAGAGAACAATGTTCTTGAAGATTATTTAATTTATAAAGACAAGCTGTATCATATATAATACAAACATTATTTAATGATAAAATTGATTGTATATATATTGATAAACTATTTTCAAGTTGTTCAAAACCATATTGATGTACAAGACCAAGTAGATCAAGTAAAATATCTTCCTAAATAGAAAAACAAAGTTTAATCTTATTAAAGAAAAAAAAAAAGGTTTCATAACAAAAAAATTTTACATTCTTTTTAGTTAAACTAATTTGTCCAGTATAAATATAACGTAAAAGAATTTTAAATGCAGCTGCTTTACATTCTTTAATTTCAATTATACGATTATCATGTTGGGATTCACGTAAACCACCATAGAGTAATGCACGAAAATATTCAGAACGAGCAGCAAGTATTGCACGATGAGCATAAAAATGTTCAGATTCAATTATTAATTCAATATCACTATAATCAGATTGATTGAATAATTTTTCTAAAAATAATAATAATAATAAAATAAATATTTGATTTCTATTATATGAGAAAAAAAGAACTTAAGAATTAAATATAAATTTGAATTAATAATAAAAATAACAACTAATATATTCTTCATTATCATAAATAATTACAATAGTATTACACATTTTTATAGATTAATAAATATTCAAGTAATCAACAATTGTTAGGACAAAGAGTAGATGACATAAGTCTTTCACTGTGAATATAGACTCATATTATAAGTGCTTCTATTAAAATAGAATAGATGAAGGGAATAATACTCATTTCCATGATTACGAAAAAATGTTTTTATAATATTTGATAATTATCGAAAATTCAATAATGTCGTGTTTTTTTTTTGACCTAGAAAAAGTATGTCGTTAGATTATACTCATGAGATTGTTTGTAAACGTGCTATATTTGTGAAATATGTTCGTTAGTCTGAATATATTTAATCCAAAGATGAACATTCTAGCATGATGTATTTCTATAAGATATTCTTCAACAAGAATTCTCAACTTTTAATCCATATTATATGAAATTAAATGATTCTTCAAAACTAAATAAAAAATATGATTGAAATTCATTTTTTTTATTGGTTAATATAATAAATATATCTCTTTTGTTCGATGATCATAATAGAAAAATGAAATAAATATATAGTAGACGTACAAATGATTGATTGATGCATAATCCATAGTGAACAATTATCAAAAACTTGTTCCTCTTTTTTTTAGGTTATCTATACAATGAAATTATTTAACTCTAATATTTTTTAAAAAGTAAGATAGAATGATAAAAGTAAACTATCATATTTTTCTTTTAATAATTCACATACCGAAATCAACTGGAAGTGTTGATGTATGATTTATTTCTCCTAATCCTTCTGATATTTCATTTGATTTCAAATTATTATTTGTATTATTTATTGCTAAATTTGATATTGTATGTTGTTGCCAAGTAGACATGATTATAATAAGTTTTTTTCTTTTTTTTCGATTTGTATCAAAAGATGATAGAAAAAAAACGACGAATATTAAATTTTTGTATAGGTTGATATTCATAACCAAACAAATACTAAAATATTAGATGTCACTATGACCATACTTTTTCTTCTATCTATATAGATGATAGAAGAAGACTTGACGAAAATTAAATATGTACTCATAGTGCTTAGAATCGGATTAGTTAAAGACTTATAAATAAAGTTTATAAGACTAGTTCAATAAAAGTATCACGGATTTTCATAATTATATAGTCATCAAGGAAAAATATAACATAACAAAGTAGAGTAAAACAAAAAGTAATAGACTTCCCAGGTTTTCTCTATATATAGAAAATGAATTGTTCATATAGAATGAAAAGAAAATAAACTGTTATAATTTTATTTTACATCAATATGAACAAATATTTTTGATATTCATTTAGTAGGTTATTCCATGATATTTGATTGTATGATATGATAACATTAACATTTATGTTCCACTTTCTAATATGATATTATAATAGAAGATGGAATATTTTTTAATAGTCAGGAACATCACCTTTAATGTAACCAAATATTTACTACGGAACATCTGCTAAATGAATACTACTATTCTCAAATCTCACTTGTTCGATATAAATAATTCACAATATAATAGAATACTTTTCTTATGATTAATTTAAATATTCTAACATGAAATTAATTAATTTTTATTGAAAAAAATCATGGAAAAAGAAGAAAAAATTTCTAATTCTTAAACTAATTTTTTCATTTTGAAATAAATTTTTTAATCTTAACTTCATGTTTTATTTATTATATTTTGAATAATTAAAAATATTTTCTTTTTTTTTTTTAATTCAATCTTTTATAATAGACTAACATTGTTTTTTGTTTGCTATCCTAATATTAAATATTATCTTAATAAGGTAGAAAGAAAAATATTGATATTTACATCACATAGATTAATAAAATATATCAATAATATATTTAATAAATTTTCTGTTAGTTTTGTTTTTTTTTTTTTTATTTCTTTCGATTAACTAATTCTTATAGACTTGTTCGATAATTTATGTATTTTATATCTAATTAATTTTTATTTAATTAAAATAAATGATATATTGAACAATATGATCAATTACTCGTGTTCAACGACTAATAGAATTTTTGTTTTGCAAACGATCAATTTCCGAATAAAATAATCATTTATAGTCAATATTTGACTTGGATCAAAAACATATGATAAATTATTCTATTTGACATAGACAAAGTACCCAAGACATCTATATATATGTACATTAAATTAAGAAATTAGTTATTGTTAAGCAATATTTCATTTCATTTTTATATTTAGGAATATTTTATCACATATGATATTAATTATATTGAAAAGAAATCAAGTAGAAATGAGGTTAAAATCTACATAGGTCGAGCTAACTATAAATTTTTATCAAGTGATGATGATGTCTTACTAAATTTTCTCATATACTCTCATCTCTATGTGCTCTTTACTTTTTTTTTTTTTTTTCTTATTTCATAGAAAAACTATAACTGTAAAATATATACAGAATGTGGAAAAGAAAAGAATGACATAAACTAGTAGAAAAAAAAAATATATAAAAAGAAGAAGAAGAAGAAAAAAAGAAAAGATAAGAACATAAGGAAATAATAATTAAAAGAACAAAAGCAAACAACAGACTGGTTTGTGTTTTTTTTTCCTATGAACAAATATAATCTAGTCTAGCAACCGTGTAATGATAAGTTTGTTGTTTCCTTTAATATGCACTTTACATTTTTCTTTTTGGGGAATATATGTCAATCAAAAATGACTATTCATGTTTTTTCATTCGGAACCATCAATGACAATAACAAACATTCAAAATGTGATTTTACTATTTATATCTTAATGCACTATTCTATTAATGTCAATTAATAGACTTGAATTCGTGTTTATGTTTTGACATTAATCTGTCTGCATCTTTTTAACTTTTGTCATCCGGCGCATGATAATGATTAGGAGAAACTAGACATGCAGACAGGAAAACAGCATGTGGAATGTTTATTTGTTAGAACTTTTGTCAAAGAATGTTTCCTATTTCTTTTTTCTTCTTCTTCTTTATTTTAGATCTTAAACATAGAAAATACTTAATGAGTGAAACATTTAATTTACGTTCATTTTTTGAAAATCAAATGGAAAAATTATCAACACCAACAAATACTCTTATGGATAAAGTTCGACAAACAGTTGATAATATGAAATTTACATTTACATCAATAAATAATACTGAACAAGATACATCTATTATATTACCAACAAATGATGTATTATTTAATTTATTTTCATCTGAATCATTATCAAGTTCATCTGTATCATCAAATTCTAGTAATCTTCATTTATCTGGTTCTCGTTTACATTCACCTAATATACAAAAATCAATAGAAAATACAAAATATTTAACTGATCGAATATCATCACGTCAATCAATATTAAGACGACATGTATCTGAATCAAATAAATCTGATGATACAAGACTTTCACCAATAATATATCATAATAATCCAACAATTAATATTCAAGGTTTATTAAATAATGATAATAATTTGAGAGAAGAAATGATCAATCGATCACGTTCACTTATTCGACAATCAACAGATACAACATCAACATTTCCAATACGACGTTCAATACGTCGAATGGAATCAATTGAAATTCCAGGATTAAATGGTGTTAAAGCTATTCGTTATATAAATGATAATCTTGGTAAATTAGAACCTAATCTATATAAAAAACCTATACAACTCAATGATCCATCATATGATTCAGGTAGTATAACACTAACACTTTTTTATAATCAATCTTTAACATCATTAATAATAACAATTATATCAATTGATCATTTACCATTTCGTGATTTAAATTCAAAAGTTTTACCTAATCCATTTGTAAAATTATGTTTATTACCTGATCGTCGAAAAAAATTTCAAACTAAAGTTTATAAACATATTGAATCTGTACAATTTAATGAAACATTTGAATTTCAAACAACATATAAACAATTATATAAACGAATATTATTATTATCTGTTTATGATTTTCGTCGTTCATCAAAAAGAAATTTAATTGGTACAGTTAAAATTGATGATATTTGTTTAAAATCCGATATTACATCACAGACTATTACATTAACAAAACATATTGTACCTGGTACAGAGGTAAGTTTTGATTAATTAAATACAAAAAAATCCTCTAAAGTCAAAAAAGACTTTGAATATAAAGATTATCTATTTCGATTTGTTCTCCATCTCTTTCTTTTGTTCATCATGTAAAATTATAAGTCTCAAGAGATACTCAATAGTACAAAGTACCTAATACAAATCAGGAAACTTCTTGGATTAAATCAAGCTTTATTGTTTTTTTGTTCTATTTCGATTTTCTTCTTTGGACAAATGATCCATCTAAAACATTAACAATCATGAAGATGCAGAAGATGAAAATTCCGAGATTGCATTTCCGACATGCAACGTATTTATTAGAAGAAGAAGAAAAAGAAAAAAAAAAAAAGAAGTGATTATTTATTTGACGTGTCACATTACCTTTTTATAGATATGAGTACACTCATCAAAACAGCTTCTATCAACAAAGTTACTAAATAATAAAATGAAAATTTTTATTTTTCTATTTGAAAATACTAGTTGTCATTGACAAATAAACAAAACTATATTTAGATCATTGATTGAATAGAAAAAACAAAAAAAGATTTTGTTGATAATAGAAATCTTCTAATAAAAAAAACAAAAAGAATTATCATATTTATTCATTGATAAGAAAAATAACATAACCAAAAATAATACAAAATTATTTGAATAGTAATAATAAAATAGCATAGAATACTAATCGAATATTTGCAAGAAAGTTTTATATTAAATAATAAATCGAACTACATTATACATCAAAATGCTTATAGTTATGATATTCATTTACATCCAAAAAAACAAAAACACATTATAGAAAATATTTTTTTCATTATGTGTTCATTTTTTGCACTTTTAAAGGTTAATAAATAGAATTTTAATCCATCACATACAAGTTATATATATTATTCATGACAAAAACGGATCATTTATCTAAATAGATTTAAATTCAAGGTGAAAAAAAACATGTCAAAAAGTTCATTAATATAAAATTAGTTAATCTTCTCTTCATATAAAAATTATTTTCTATTTAAAAATAAAATAATTGTTTAGAAAAGTAATAAGTTAAACAAATAAAATAGAATGCAGAATAAAAAGACAATCAAAAAATTGCCTTCGCTTGCATGTATATATATTTGCATTCTTAATTTTTATAAGCATATTATATATATAGTTAGAAAATACAAAATGTACTGCATCTTATAATATATATATACGCTTTGAACAATGAATAAGGTCAAAAGTTGTATCAGAAAGAAAAAAGCATCAATGATTGTTTTTAATCTATAATGTAAGAAATAGCTAAGCGAATTTTCTTCATTAATATACATTCATTAACAATTTATATTTATGCACGACTCTATTTTTTAAACATTTTACGATAAGATAAAGACTAATATATCATTTGAACATTGAAAAATATTCAATTTCAAATCATGCTCTATTTCTTTGTCATTTATTTTGATATGCATAAAAGAATATCTATTGTTTTGCTTATTTATTTATTTAATAAATATTATAAAGAATATTCATTAATAGTTTTTGACATAGATTGATATGCATTTTGATTAGTTATAATCAATGCTTGCATTTATATTATTATAAAAATTTGCACTCATTTTCATAGTATATATATATATATTCATAAAAATTTAAATAGAATTTATGCACGTTATGACTATTGCTGATAATAAGCTGATAAATATCTTATATTATCATCCAGGTGTAAGTATTTCATACTAATGCATTTAAAAATAAGTAAACTAAACTAAAAGAAAAAAAAAACGACCTGGAAATCAAATGACTTCTAGTATAATACGAATGGTTTCTTCATCATCAATAAAATAGAAAGTAATCAATTAATGTTAGACTCATATTACTTGAAGTGTCTTATATTAAAAAAAATAAGAAGAAGACGAGTCCTGGATTGTAAAGAACTCAAGATATAAAAAAAAAAACATTTATATATGAAAATATTAATTAATTCTACATCACGTAAAACTCAACAATTGTTTTTTTTTTGTTTCTAATGATAGAACAAGATTTATATTGTTAGTCATGCTATTACATAAAAATTCAAAAAACAAAAATAGATTTCATTATTATTTTACTAGAACATATAAGAATAGTAAAACTATTCATTTATATTTTTAATCATTATTGTTAAGATTAATGAAATGAATCCGTTTAATATATAAAAATCTAAGATAATACCAATTTCGTGCATTATATTCAGATATATTAATTTAAAAAAAAAAAAAAGAAGAAAGAAAATAAGATTTTTATCATTAGTTTATGATTGTGTATGTCTCAATCATGATCGTCTATGTATTTTGAATTAAATAAATAATAACAATAAATCGTTTTAAAGAATTAGTAAAGGCAAAAAAAACATTAAATCTGATTCCTTTCAAACATCTTCAACTTGTCTTTTTTTTCATATATTTCTAAGAAGAGGGACAATGTTGTGTAATCAGTTAAGAAGTACATCATTTTATAAAACATGTCTATTTAATAATAATGTCATCTTATAAAATAAGACAAAAAAACTAATTCTCTAAAATATAATAATCATTAAGTAGTTTACATATGTATATATGTTTTTTTTTTCTTTAGAGTGATCCAGATCTAGGTGAATTAACTGTATCATTATGTTGTTTACCAAATGCAAAACGTATTACTGTAACTATTGTTAAAGCAAATTCATTAAAACCAATGGATATAACTGGTAAATCTGATCCATATGTTAAAGTTGTTTTATTAATTAATGGAAAAAAAATTCGAAAAAAAAAAACATCTGTTGTATCAAATACACTTAATCCAATATATAATGAAAGTTTAGAATTTGATTTATCAAATGAAGAATTTGAAAATACGGATCTTATATTTAAAGTTATTGATTATGATCGTGTTGGTTCAAATGAATTAATTGGTTGTATTGGTATTGGTTGTCATTTTGATGGTATTAATCGTGATCATTGGTATCAAATGATTGAACATCCACATGTACCAATAACTCAAAATTATAGTTTACGTGAAACAGTACCAATAATAACATGTACAAATTCAAAAACAATACAACAAACGAAATAATTTCTAATGACAAACAACAAAAAAAAAACTTTTTATTCCGGTGAATTTTTTTTTTTATTAAGGAAATAAAATATTTAGAAAAAAACATGTTGTTTTTTTCTCTTATGATATTTCTTCATTATAATCAATTAGATTTGATTGTTGTTGATTAGAATCTGTTGATGTTGATTTAGTTCGTTTTGTTTGATCAATTGTAAATGATGGAACTTGACTTTCATCTTCAGGTATTGGTCGTTTTCGTGATTCATCTTTCTAAAATTAGATAATTAAGCAAAATAATTTGTATAAATTTTAATACATACTGGTAAACGAGATAAACGATGAATGAGCATTGGAACTGGATCATTAATTATTTCTATACAATAAAAAAAAAACAAAACATTTAACTTTTCATGGATCTATGTGTGTGCGTGTTTTTTTTTGTGTCAAATTAAAAATCTATTTGAAGATCTTTTAATAAATTAATTTGATTAATCAAAAAAAAGAAAGATTAATATAATTATGAATATAAATTGAAGTTCTTGAAAGTCAGTCTTGCTTTTTATTTTGACATATTTTTTATTTGATCTTGTTATAAATGAAATAATTCATTAGAAGTGTCTTATTTAATTTCAAATTTTTGTTTTTTAACAAATCAAATTATGCAATAATAAAGTCAATTATGTTCTATGTAATGTTATTTTTAAAAAGAAAGTAATGTGTCAAACAAATAAATTTAAACTATGAAAAAAAAAAAAGAAAATTTGTAATTTTTTTCTATTTTGACAAGATGAGAAAGCGTTTAGATATATATATCTTTTTCGTAGAGAATAAAAAAATTATCTTCTACATGACAAATTATTAGCAAGAATCTACAAAAACAAAATTTGTGTAGTTCGAAGATTTAATTTAATATTTTGAGCAAAATAAGATTTTCTTTTCATTAAACTGCATTCTTTAGATCTACCGATAGTAGTTAAGAAGAAAAGTTAAAAATATAACTACTCGAAACTTTCAATGAGAATAGAACAAAAATGTAGGAAAGTTCGTCCGCATTGACCTTTGTCATAGTTTTTATGTTTTGTTTTGTAGATTTTTGATCTAAAATTTTTTTTCTTTTGAATAAATGTAACGATGTTTAGAATAGTTTTAAAGTTTTAGTTGAAAAAGAATATTTCTCAGTCAAAATATTGAATTCCTAAAAATTGTTTATTACTATAGACATGTTATAAAAATTAAGTTTACATCTAAATTCAATAGTTTAATGACAGAAAAATTCTTTTCGACTGAAAATTTTAACAATCCTTAGGTTTATCTATGAGTAAAATTTTGATATTAAAACTTCATTACTCAGTTTTTCGAGCAGTACTAAAAATATGGATAAAAAAATTCAGTAAATCGATGATTTAAACAATTTACTCAAGTAAGAAATATGTCCGAGAAAATTTGATACCGATTGTTGCAATCTTATGATAATCTCAAATACAATTCTTTATTCTTATAGATATTTTTGCTTGTTTGAAAAAATGAACTATTAAATCACGATGTTTTTTTTCTTCTTGTATGGTTATATTGCATATTAGATAATACCTTTTGCATTTGAATCAAGTTGTGCTGTATATGTTGGTCGAACAGACTAAAATAAAATTTCATATATCAAAAAAAAAAAACAAAATGTCAACTATTCTTACTGTTTGACGAATAGCACCATTAGTATGAAGTCTAGTAAAACTATCTGGATTGCGACACGGTAAATCTTTTAAAAATGATGACTAAAAAATTAAAAATAAATTTAAATAAATGAAGGAAAATTTAATAACAATTAAAATACCATATTGCAACATTTGACAATCTTCAATGAAATATAATTTATTGACTTCCTATTTATTTTTAAACTAACCATTTTTCAGGGGTGTATCATTCAACCAATCAAATACTATGATAAGTAAGATGTCGATGATAATCAATTGATGACTATTTAGATTATTCAGTGCATAAAATTTTTAAAAAAAGAATCACTTTCATTATTATTGCTTTACACTTGAGATCAGTGTTTTATCCAGAGGGGTGCCCGGGGGGCGGTACTCCCCCCGAGACTCGCGATCATCGCATGACGAACTATGTGGCTTGCCCCCTCCCCCCTCCGGAGAAAAAAACCTGGATAAAATACTGCTCGAGATGAATTCAAGTCAACGTTATGCAAACATACGTATACTTATGTCCAACAATATGCAATATTCGAGTTATTCACATGGTGCTCTTATTATGGTAGCTGAAGCTGGTGGAGATGATTTTTTTTAATTTGAATATAACGGATGGTTCATAAATAATTGCAATGTTAGAATTTTCAAAATTCTTTCTCAATTTTTGATTTGTTTTGAGGAAATTCTCTACAAAAATCGTACGATATATTAGAGTCATTAAATAAATTCTGAAACTAATTTTATTTAAAAATAACAAGAAACATTGCTATATTTCCATTGTTGTCTATATACAATTCTTAATCTATAGATGTTATGAACTCAGATCTATTAAACATTGATAATATGAACAATTTATAGGTTTTCAGGTACCATCGAATATAACATTGATCTCGATTAGTTTTTAGCTATTTTAATTTTAGTGTCGTTTAGATCAACGATTATTGTCAATATTTAATTGTTCATCTTTAAAACTACAATATCATTGAAGAATGCTTAAATTTTAAAATATTCTATCAGTATATATAGAGTAAATTAAGAAGTATTGCTATATCTAAACATCAATGCTTAATCGATTCAAGATCATGAGTTCTATAGAGATTCAGGACTGTATGAACTATATATATATATAACAATTCTAATGTGTAGCAGTGCTTTTTATTGTTTTTTAAATAAAATTAGTCTTAAGCATTTAATACGACTGATCGACGCATAGATCCTAACAAAAGTAAATGCATCAAAGGTCAAATGCTGTCTGATTTTCAAGAAATTGGTATCAACAAGACAACTGTCTGTTGAAACAAAACACACACACTAGTGTTACCACATGAAAATCTTGATTATTTGCCATAAGAAAAGGTCAAAGAATTCATCATAACTAATCTAACAAACAAGAGTAGGCTAAATGTTAGTAGCATATTTTTAAGATTCATACGCATTATCTCAATGAAAAATAATGTATTGACAACTATCCATCATCGAATCTGTCTGATTTAAATCTGTTAGATTAAAGTTTATGAAATGAACTAACAGAAACTATGAATTCCGACTGAATAACAATAAATTTGATTTCATTAGATCTAAATAGAATTTCAAATGTTAGCCATTTTGATAAAAAAAACAAAAGATGTTTCAATGGCGTGAAAACTAAAGGAAAAATTTTAAAAATATGAAGAGTGTAATTATTTATGGATCATTCATCATATAAAAGCTGAACTTATTTTTTTAGGTTATATAAGACCTGGTGTAAGATGAAATTTTATTTTGAATAATAATTAGATTTTATAATCCTTTTTCTTTTTTTTCCAGGCGATTTATCCTGAGCTAGCAAGAGAGATTATAATTTATCTCAATCTCATATCAGTATACAAATGAATTATTGATTTCCAGGTGATCTTAATTCATACGTAGACGATACTTTGTTTTAATGTTAACAATTAGAAATCGATCATTATTCTGATCCAAGAGAATGGTACAAAATAATGAAAATCGTCTTAGAAATGATGATTGTTTGCTAGTAAAACAATAGACTAATGAAATTACGATTTCATTTCGGCTGTCAGAAACGTCTATAAAGTGTCATATTACTGGATTAATTTTCACCATAATCTATCCGTTCGTCTTCTTTTTTTTTTTGATGGCAAGCCTTTATCATATCTTCTATTATTTTAATTAAAAAAAATCTTTTTTTTTTTAAATACAATTCGAAAAAGATAGTTCAAACTATTATTCAAAAGGAAATCTTGATAAATTCCCCACTAATTATTTTATCATTGATTTTGAAATTACAACTCTATTGAATATACAAATACCTAATTTTTACTACTATTGAAATTCTATTATGAACAATTAGTTTTAATTTTTAAAGTTCAAAATTTCCTAGAAACAATTGATTTACTTGCATTAAATTATAATGTGTCAAACAAGTCATACTTATTGGTTGATCTTTTAGTAATACTGTAGTAATCTCAGCTGATGCTCAACATAATCTCGTTAAAGCTATTAGTAGAAATAATATTTTATTTTTTATCATAAATAGTTACTATTGCATCTCAAACTGTTGGTATTGATAGTGTTGATCAATTAAGTTGAAAAGATAAAAAAGAAAATTTTAAATTTATTCTTTTTAAATATAGGCAAAACTTTTTTATTTATTTATGGTATGAGATGATCAATGCTTATCATCATCATCGTGTTCACAACAACTCTATCAATTAGTTGGTCAACCTTCTCTATGATCGAGATAATCATGATATAACAAGCAAAAGAAAAAATAAAAGAATTTGTACTTCAATATTTATACATGTTATGAATATAAGAACTCTTCTCTTTTTTTTTTTTGTCATAAATATAATTTATTCGAGTAAATCATGATCATTTAAAGATTTATAGACAAAGTTTATTTGATTAATTTATTTATGATAGCACGGATATTTTTTTGAGTAAAAATGAATGTTCTTGAATTTTCTTCATCTCAAGTTTTGATCGACTTATGATAAGTGTCAAATTAATTTTTCCATTGCTTTTTTTTTTGTCAAAAATTTACTCTGTTTTACGCTTCAAGATTTTATGAAATAGCAAAATAAAACAAAGAGACAGTAAAAAAAGAAATTTTTTATATAATAAAGACTTGAATTAACATAATTTTTTGTTTTTTGATTATATCAGTTCTATTTTACAAAAAATTAAAAGAATACAATTATATTAGCGCAAACAACACAGAAAAGAAGAAAATCTAGGGAATGAACATATATTTATAAAATAATAGACAAGTCTATTTACATTTTCTAATCAATTTTTTACAGTAGAACGAACATGAAATTTTTCATCTAATTATTTTCTTTATCTAAACAAGTTCTTCTTCTGTCAGTTAATATAAGTCCTATGACATTAAATTAACTTTCGAATCAAGCATTTATTTATTAAAATACTTTCAAATAGTAAAGTAATGCATTAACATTTAACTTCCTAAACATAAGAGTAAAGTCGACAGCTTTTGATTCTATGAAAATAATAAACAATTGTCATAGTTAATATTACATATGACTTAGTTATTCACAATATGCTTTATCATGATAACCTTACACTTTTCTTTTTTTTTTTTTGTTTTATCATGTTCTACTTTTTTTTGTTTTGTTTTACAAACGACTATCTGTTTTATTTTCGCACCTTACCCCTTTTGATATCTTCCTAAATAAAAAGTAATAAACACTAAAACTTATTATTCTTATCGAGCAAAAAAAAAAAAAAACGAGTGAAAATAATGTTAAATCAAAATCGTATATATTATTTTCTTATTGAATTATTTCTTATTATTCAAATAAGTTCAAGTCATAAAATTAATGGAATTAAAAATATTGGTGCATATTGTGCTAATGATACATCACGTGGTAATCCAAATTTAAATCCAATTGATATAAGTCAACCAAAATTAATAAATAAAGTTGAAAATGGTACACTTTATCAAGTTGGTTCAGGTGAAGATCAAATATGGTTAATACATGTTTATGGTAATACAGGTTATGATTTTGGTTATGCTTATGGTACATTATTACGTGATCAAATTCAAAAAGTTTTACCTCGTGCTTGGGCACATTTTGAACAAGAAATAATTGATTCATTAAAAGATCTTAAATTACCAAAATGGTTTGAAGATATTATTATTAATGAAGGTCTTGAATTTGCATTAGATTTACAAAATGATCTTGTTAAAAAATATATGAATGAAGAAATATATAATGAAATGCGTGGTTTATCTGATGCATCACAAGTTGATTATAAAACAGTTGTTAGATTACATATGCTTGGAGAAATTACACGAGGTAAATCTTACAAAAAAAAAAAAAGTTCTTTGTCGGAAAACGAATTGTAATGAACATTTTTTGTATGAATTAATTGAATTTAGAAAATAAATTAGTATAAAATATTGTTATATAGTCAAATAGAATAATATTTATCTTTATTCTATAGGTCGATGTTCACTTTATGGTCTTTGGGGTAATGCAACACTTGGTGGAAAAACTTTACAATTACGTGCATTAGATTGGGATGTTGATGCTGGTTTACAAGATTATCCTGTTGTTACTATCTATCATCCTCGTACATCAAAACTTGGTCATACATTTGCTAATGTTGCTTGGGCAGGTAAAAATATTTTAATTCTTTTGTTTTCTATATTAATTTTGAAAATAACTTTATATATATATATATATTAAGGTTATATTGGAACATTAACTGGTATGTCATCATATCGTCTTGGTATATCTGAAATAGGTGTTTCATTTCCTGATGATACATTTGGTGATGAAAGTATGAGTGGTTTACCATTTATTTTTGTTGAACGTTATATATTACAATATAGTGAAACACTTGATGATGCACTTTCATTTATTGCTGATGTTAAACGTACATGTCATTTAATACTTGGTGTAGCTGATGGAAACTTAGGTACAGCACGTATGATACAATATTCACATTCAAAAGTAAATTTTTTTGATGATAAAAATTTACAACCATTAGCTGATTGGCATCCACGTATACCAAATGCTATTTATTGTGGTATGGATTGGTTATGTCCATCACGACAATATAAATTATATCGTGCAATAATAGATCAATATGGACAAATAACACCAGAATTATCAATTAAAAATATAACATCAATTGTTAAAACAGGTGATTTACATGTTGGTGTTTATGATTTAACAGATAATATAATGTATGTTGCAAATGCACGTGGTACAGATGAACAAGGACCTAAAGAAGCTTATAATCGACAATTTGTTAAAATTGATCTTAATATTGAATTTGCTCGTAATCAATAAAATTTGAAATATAAAAAAAAATAAAATAAAATAAAAATTAATGATTGTATAAGACTCGATATTTTATAATAAATAAATTATTTTTCTTTTCATATATAGATTATAAAATAATAAAAATATACTTATCATTCATTGTGATAAATGTTAATCATATTTATGAGAGAATTCTTCCAATTTTGTAGCCTCTATTCATGCTAATAATAGATTTCATGGCCCTTATAATTAGGGAATTGCGGGACCACGTTTTTTCGGTCCCGAGCTCGGCCAATATTGTTTTTTAGTCCCGGTCCCGGTCCTGGTCCCGTTTTTTTAATAGCGAACATAAAAAAATTTTTTTAAGAAAGCTATCACGATGTCGCACATAAGTGTGCGCTGTGTTATGTATATATTATTAATTCTGCTCTTATAAATTGTCTAAATAGTCTATTATCTGTCTATATGTGAATATTATAAACATGTTAATGTTAATAGATATTTGAAAATATCGTTTTTTTTTATGAAATAATAAAAGACATTATTGATCATCAATCGCGACTTGAAAAGACAATTGAGTTCTTTTTTTATTCAAAATAATTTTTGGTCCCGAAATTGGTCCCGCAGGACCAGGACCGGGACCATTTTGCAGTTCTCTACTTATAATATCTAAAAAGATGCTTCTATCTTCATAAAAAAAAAAGAAAAACTATATTTTTACAAATAGTACATTATTCAGTTCTCAACAGCCCGAGTGTATTGAGCGCTGGGAAAGCACACCCAAAGGTGATTCCCTTCCAATCTTGAAAAATTTTTGTTTCTGCTTTCAGTACTTATATTTTTGCTCAATAATTCTCAAAAATCACGTTCAACTCCTCCCTTCGAATCCGGTATCGGCTCCTCAATCCTAGCGACCTTAGGATATTCCTTGCTGTGCACTACGCCAGACATGAATCTTTATGGAGAATAATAAAAGAATCCGACACCGACATTACAATGAAAAATTAGATCCATGCTGAACTTTATTCAATTTTGCCTATATTTTTACAAAATATTTTAAATATGATTCTATTTATAGACATATCCTATTCTAAAAATATTATTATGTTGAGTTTAAAAAATATTTTATTAAATATTATTATATATATTGCATGATTATTGATAGAGATTATCTTTATCGAATAAAAAATAGTTTAAAAGATACACATACATATATATATATATATATCATTTCACACATACATATAGTTCACAATAATTATTATGTCGAACTATTAGAAGAAATAAAAAAATATATAAAAACAAAAACAAAAACAAGAAGTTTATTGACATAGCACCCTATGATTCAAAAGCAAATTTATTTTCATAAATTAAAAACATATGAAGTTGATCATTTATAAATGGAAATAATTTTAATTGTTTAATATCATTTGGATATTGTTTAATATGCATTTTAATATATATACGACATATAGATTTTAATGTTCGACAAGAATTTCGTTGTCGATAAAAAATATTTGTTTCTAAAAATTTAATAAAATCAATTTTTTTATTTTCTAATTTTTTATTTAAAAATTGATAAGCATCATTTTTTAAAAGAATTTTTATTTGATGTAAATTAAAATAAATTTCACCATTATTATAAAGTATATTAAGAAATTTTTGAAAAATTTCTTTATCATCAATTTTATATGATTGAGCAAATTGAGATGATAATGTTAATGAAAGAAGTGTTGGAGAAGGAAATATCATATCAATAGAACGAGAATTATTAAAAAAATCATTATGATTTGATGAAAGATAATAAATTCCAATAATTTCAAGAAAATAACCAATAAATTTTTCTCGAATTAAATTATTATTATTATTTGTTCGATTATTTACTATATTTGTATTAAATATATCATGTAAACGATATTTTAATAAAAAACAACCTGAAATAAATAAATAAAAAAAAAAATAAAACTTTCAATAATTAGAACATGAAGGATTTATTCTTGTGAACAGTGCAGTACAAAACAAAGTGTACCTCAATCAATCCATTGTAGATTTTTCATGAAGAGTTACAGATGTAACAGTCAACTAATAATGAAATTTTACACGATAATTAGCTTCTCGCATGTTTATCTGCTTCATTGATCTGAACAACAATGATTGAAAATGCATTCATCACCGTTGTATTTCTATTAACAATCATGTTTACTATCTGAGAAAATTCAAGTAGAAAAAATGTATTTTGTTTTCATATGAGAAAATTTTGATAAACAGTGCTGGACAAGATTATCGAATCGCGTTTCTTTGAAATATCCGCTCTCAACTGATTAACATGAAATGAAATTAAGCGAAGATTTTCAATAGGAACATAGTAGGCTGATTTCGCTTCTTGCCGAGAGACTAGAAATAACATTTTTAGTACGAAAGAAAGACTCATGTGCAAAATTTTCTTTGCCAAAATGACTACATACCGATTTCATTTACCGGTATGAATCTGAAATTTTGAGTATAGATTTCTTTGCTTAGTGCATTTTTCAATGTATAGAATTCGAAAAAAAATGGTCACGATGAGTCCGACAGTAAAAACTGTTAGCGCAATCCCTGCAGGATTAAACTGAAAAGCACAATGTAGCTGCTTTTATCAATCACAGAAGTTAGTTATATTCTATCTGTTTTCGAATAGATTTCTTCATGACCTTTTTACTCCATGCCCCAGAAATACAATAAGAAATTATTGTCGGATTTGTTTTTAAAAATAGTCTCCACCATTTTTTGAGTAACTCTCGATTGTTTTTAGCTATTTAGCTCGGGTTTTCACCATTAGAAAGAGCAAGTGAGGGGACATTTATCTATATAAAATTCATAAGTTTTTCATGAATGTTTTCGAACGAACATCTTTGTTGTTGTCCATTTTCATGAGTTTTTACAGCAATCTACACTCAAATTATAGCCCAAAATGGTCTTTATTCCTGGTAAAATTTTTAAATCTCTCTATAGTTTATTTGAACCAATACTTCCAAGGTATAGTATTAAAATATGAAAATTTGGCCAGGAATAAAGGTCGTTTTAGGCTAGAATTTGTTATAATTTGAACGTAGATTGCTATGAAAACTCATGAAAATGGACAACAACAAAGATGTTCGTTCAAAAACATCCATGAAAAACTTATAAATTTTATATAGATAGATGTTTCCTCACTTGTTCTTTCTAATGGTAAAAACTCGAACTCAGTAGCAATAAGCAATCGAGAGTTATTCAAAAAGTGGTGGAGGCTATTTTAAAAAAAAAAAATCAACAATAGTTCGAAAATCAGAATCAGACTTTACTGATATACGGTCTGTGGAGGAAAGGAAATGTTTCAAATTTTTATTCTATATATTTCAATATTCTTTTTATATCATGTTTCATAAATAACTTTCTATGAATTCAATAGTACTGTGTTATAATCAAGAGTAATTGAGTAATAATTAGAGAACTAGAATTCGATCTATAATGAAATTCTATACCGATTGATTATTATTTATTTTGGATCAAATTATTTTCAATATTAATTAGATTAAATATATTGAGAATTCTTCTACTAACCAAGTTCAAGTAAAACATTAATATCAAATTCATTCCAAATAAAATTTGTATAACTATGAAACATAGTTTGATAAATTGTTAAATTATTTGATAATGGTGAATATTCAAAAAAACTTTTTGAAATTTTTCCATTTAAAATAATTAAACGATGTAATAATTGATATAAATTATTGATTAAATTATTTGTTCGATTTGGATTTATTTTTTGACATAATAAATAAAGTAAATATTGATCAAGTATTGTATTACCAAAATGATCATAACCATTTGATATTGTTTGTATTAATGTTAAATTTAAAGAAAATGATTCATTTAATGTTGTATCAATATATTCCAGTAGATTTAATTGATCATCCGAACGATATAAACGTGGCCGATTAACAGCAGTATTATCTGTTGATATTATATTTGACATTAATCTATAAAAAAAAGAAAAGAAAAGAAGACTGATAGGAGAAGAAGAAGAAGAAAAAAAATCAGTAACAAAAATAATTAATCTTCTTTCCTCTCAAAAACAAATCAAAGAAAAGAATAACATGAAAGTGTTTTCTTTTTCCTTCAGGGAATATAACGACAACAAAAACAAAAAAACAAAATAAATTGTAGTAAATTAATGAATTCAACATATTCCTTAGAAATCTCAAGATTATCTTTTTCTATAATCGAACAATGAAAATAATATTATAGATTTATCTAAAACTATACACATATATATGAATAATTTAAGTAAATTTATAATTATTAATTAATTCAATATCATTTTCATCAAGATGAATATTTAAAGCTTTAACTGAATCTTCAATAGATGTTATTTTACTAGCACCAGGTATAGGTACAATACATTTTGATTTAGATAAAATCCATGCAAGAACAATACAATAAGGTGAACAATGATATTTTTCTCCTAAATTTATAAGTAATTTTTCTTGATTTAATTTTTTATGTTTTCTTCGACCACCCATTGGTGAATAAGCTATAAATGTTAAATTATTATCTTCACAATATTTTAAAACTCCATCAAATTCTGCTTGACGTTTATATATATTAAAAACATTTTGTACAGATTGTATATTAACATATGTTTGTACTTCTTTTATTTGTTCAACAGTAAAATTTGATACACCAACATATTTAATTAATTTTAATTCAATAGCTTCACATATTGGTTGAAATATTTCTTTTAAACTATATTTATTATCTTGTGGTGAATTATGTATTTGCCATAATAAAATTGGTTTTTGTCCTCCAAGACTTTCATAACTTTTTTTAATAGCTTGACGAAGACGTAATGGATTTAAATCTGTTTCCCATGCACCATTAGGACGAATAAGACCACCTAAAAATATAAAGATAAATAACAAAAAAAAGAAAAAAAAACAAAAACCTTTCGTAGCTATAATAATATTATTTATATTAGCTGAACCTTGATATGTTTGTAATGCTTCATAAATTAATATTTCACTATAATTTTTATCATTTTCATCTAAACAATAAGCATCAGCTGTATCGATTAATGTTATTCCAAGATCAAGTGTACGATGAATAACATTAATCGCATCTTCTCTTGTCGGTCGACCATAAATTGATAATGGCATAGAACCTAGACCGATTCTTGTTATTTTCATATTAGTATGACCCAAATTAATAGTTGGTATTTCCATAATTTATTATTATCTTTCTAGAATATTATACATTTTTTTTTTTTTAATACTCGAAAACAAATATATATATATTAGAGATTAAAGCAAGCACCAACAAACAGAAAAAGAAAAAGAAGAGGAACAAGGATCATTATTTATCATCACTGTTATATATATATATGATTTTAATTGTATTTTGTTATGTTTATGCATTTTTTCGAGAACGATGATAAAGAAGAATATTATCACTTAAGATTAACAAAAAAAAAAAAAACGAAACCGATGGGAGTGAGCAAAGGATCGCGCGCGGGGAGCGGGGGAAGACGATATGAAAAACAAAACGACAAAGCAAATGACATTCGACTACAAAAAAGAAAAAAAAAAACTGTATAATAAGAAAATTCTAATAGGAAAAAGACAAAAAAAAAAAGAATTTGATACAAATAAAAATGAAAGAAAGAATAATGTTCTCTGTTTTTTTTTTTTGAAAAATACTTCTATCTTATTTTCTTTCATTTAAACAGGTATACTGCCAATCATAACTTTCGATACAAAATTTGCAATAGCTGCTGATGGTTGTGATGGATCAATTTCAGCAAATATATGACATTCATTTTCAGGTTGAGAAGATTTTGTACCATTGATTTTTTTTGATACAATACCAAAACATCTTTAAAAACAAAAAACATATTATCATTAAAAAAAAAAGAAAATGAAAATTAATCTACTTTGCATGTGGTAACATTTCAAGATCATTATATTGATATGTCCAAAAACGATCAGTTTCATAATCAAGACCACAATAAGTAACATATTCTTTTGGAAAATGACGTCGTGAAAATAATCTTAAAAAAAAAATAAATAAATTTATTCTATACGAATATTTAATAAATAATATATACTTTTTCTTAACATCTGTTAATGTAATACCAGTAGTTGATACTTTAAATGTAACAATAGTTGGTTGTAAACGTTCAGCATTTTCAAATGTTGTATTTAATGCTTTAGCTACAGCCATTTGACCGGATAATGATTCAACATCAACATTATTTAAATAAACAACATTACAAGCTAAGAATAAGAATAAAAAATTTTTTATTCATCATATATTTTTTAATGGCTTCATTTTTTTACCAGCTCCTTTTTCTAATAAATCTTTAGTAGATATTTTTTTATTTTCTTGTTGTTGATTTATCATAGAATGAAAATCTTCAGCTATATCCATTGTTGGTAAAATAAGTTTTATAGGCAAAGCAAGTGCTGTTATTGTATGTTGATAGACTAATTCTGATAGAGTAGCTAGAAAAATAATAACAATGAATTTATTTCGAATTCAAAAAAAATTTATATTTTTAAATATACCAAAATCAGGTTCATTAGGACAACCTTTCAATCGAACACCTTTAGTTGGTGTTCGTTCAATAAGATAATGTCGAACAAGTTCTGAAGCAGGATCAGCACCTGAATATTATTATTTTTGTTTTTTTATGTTTGCATTAAAATCAAATAACAAACCTCGTTTTGACTGAATACCCGGTGGTAATGTTTCAACTTTAACAGCTAAACCAAAAGAACCTGGAAAACCTTGACTATCACGAATAAGAAATGTACCAGGTGGTTTTGTTTTAAGTAAATTAATAGCTATATGAATAAAGACACAAACAAAAAAAATAATAATGAAATATATATATATTCAATATAATATACCATCTTCACGTGACATTTTTTCTTTATACCAAAATTGACTAACATTATGTGCTTGATAAGCACCATTACGATTTACATCAGATTCTATTAAAAAAAACATAATAATAACGATATTTTATTTGTTTCATAAAAGAAATTTTTATTTCTGTTCTATCTATTAAACTTATTTTTATACTAGAAATTATTTATAATATCTAATTTTCTTTTGCTACTATTGTGAAATATGATGTACTGCTGGCAATGTTTTATTTAGTAGGACACATCTCGAAGGATCTGGTTGGCCTTGTCAAGGTTTATAGTTATTGTATCGTATACCATGTGTCTGTACTTCCTAAAAGCAATATTTATTTGCACTATGAAAGAAAAAAATCTGGATAAAACATTGATCATTAATTTCAACTAAAGTTTAGCAAAGAAAAAAAAACATGTATTTTTATGAGTGTTCTCAAGATTTTGATGTTTTTCATAGAAACGAAAAGAGATATTAAAAAAAAAGAGTAATTAAATAATCTAAACAGTATCAAAGTATTTATAAAAAGATGTTTTACTCTACAAGAGACATGATGGGTGAGAAAAGTGGAAAAACATTTGGTGCTCTTGCCAGATCAATATCTCTCACAGAAGAACATCCAAAAATTGTTACTCTACTCGATAAGATCTATTAGTCTTGACTTCTAAAACTTCTCGCAGAAAATACATTCATTTTTAAAGTGTTAGAGACGGTTCATCTCCTGAAACTTATACCACTTTCTATTGGAAGTTACCAAGAAGTTCTAAAACACTTACGAGGAAGCATTCTCAAGTGTCACATGACTTTTAAGTCGAACGTATGCGCATTATGTAGATCCTAACGATCTATGAATTCTCTAAACAAAATTTCGTGCCGCTAACTTATTACTGCCGAGATACTACGTTTTTACTGTATGTTTAAGAAACAAGAGCCGTGGTCCCCCTCAGGAACACTGGAAAAACTGAATTTTGAATTTCGACTTGAAACTTTGCTTAGATATAGGTCTCAATGAGAATACTTTATTGTGAAAATTTCAGTTCTTTTCGTTGTTCCTATTCTAAGATACAGCTATCGTAAAATTGCTGATAGACACAAGTAGATCCGATGTTCTTATTTCAGACTAGGAGCAACCAAAAGATCTGAAACCTTCACAATAAACTATTCTCATTGAGGCCTGTCTATATGCAAAGTTTTAGGTAAAAACTCAAAATTTCCTGAGAGGGGGATCACAACTTTTTGCTTAAACATACAGTAAAAATGCAATATTTTAGCAGTAAGAAGCCAATGGCACGAACTTTTTTCAGAGAATTCATAGATCATTAGGGCCCACATGATGTTCATACGCTCGACTCAAAAGCGATGTGACAGTTCGGCATGTTCCCTCGTTAGTAGTAAGTCTGATAATATAATAAGTCATCTGTTAAAATTTCTTTTTTTCTTGAGAAATCTTTTCTTTTGATATTTAAGTTAATTTTCATATTACACCTACCTGCTGTAGAAGAGACACTTGATCTACGTGAATTTTCATCTTGATTTCGTAATGAACTAAAAACAAGAAAGTTTCATTTATAAAATAAAAAACAAAAATATTCTTTACCTATCTCCAATACGTGTTTGAGTATTTGCATTAACTAAAAATAAATTTATCTTTCTTTATACAAAAAAATTTTATTTAAAACATATATATATACATACAAGATTGATTTATTACTGGAAATGTCGACATTGTTGATGAAATTTTCGTTGTTTGATTATCAGCATTTGAAGTCTATGAAAAAAAAAGAACAAGAAAATTTGATTAAAAACAAAATTCGAATTTTCTTTTTTTTTAACACATCAAACAAAACAGGACAAAAAGAAAAATGGGTAGCGAGCGAAGGAATCAATTATTATCATTCCAAAAATGCATTTCTTACAGTCTCAACTGTAGTCGAACTTATATTTGTATCTGTTATACCAGGTTCAATAGATGATTGTAATACAGTACTCTCAATAATAGTTCCATGTGGTCTAGGTGCTCGTTTTGTTATATGACTATTTGAAGTTTTACGTTTTATATCAATTTCAGATGTTTGTTGTTCTTGTTCTTGTTGAGATTTATTATTACTCAATGGATTTGATAAACCAACTGAACCCGGAACTAGAGTTGGTAATATTGATATATCTTTTTGAGTTGTTTTTATTGTAGATGGTGATGATGTATTTGTTGTCTAGATGAGATAATTAATAGAATTTGTTTAGTTTTATTCAAATATATTATTTGATATATGAATTTAAAGAGATAATGAAAAGGATATAGAAAAAAAAACACATTATTTTTATCATGAGTAATGCAAAACTAAAGTTTCTAGAAATAGTAATAGATTTTGTTAAAACTAATAATAATAATAAATTTTTTGTTTCGAAATTTATTTGTTATCAATGTATTTATATATATATGTATATTCAACATATTTCTTTTTCTGCTTGCTTCTCAACAATCGTCTGATACTTATCAACCTTAAATTTGACAAAAACAGATGTCAGAGGATGATGAAAGAAATATCTCAGAAGAAGATAAAACAATTCTCATCGTGCATAAATATTTTTCTTCTAATAATTATTATAATATGGGTTATTAGAATGGATAGCAATTATTTCTTCTTATATATTATTGGCGTACTATTTATAATTCTTACTATTTTTTGTTGTTGTTCATATTGATGACTAATAACAGGTATTGATGTACCACGTGATGGTTCTTGTATTTGACGATAATATTGATTATTATCAATAAATTTTTGTTGTTGTCGTTGTGAATTAGATCTTGTTGTTGGTTGATTTTCTGTCCATTCATTTTTACCATATTGTATATCAACAGGTATATGTCGATATCTATTATGATATTGTCGTGTATTCATACCTGAATCTGTTTCATAACCAGTTATATGTTCTGAACGATTTGTTTGATTAAAACCAGGCTGACTACGTATATTAATTGGTATTCTATTTAAATTTGTTGATGATGACATACGATTATTAACAATAACAGTTTCAGGTATAACAGCCATACGTGATGGTATTGGTCGTGTCATATGTAATCGACCACTACTAATTAAACCACTATCAGTATCATAACCATCTGGATGAGGTGTTGAACGATGAGTTTCATAGTAACGATAACATGGATACGTAGGTGGTGGTGGTGGTGGTGGAACACGATAATATCGTGGAGGATAAACACGAGATGTCATTAAACCTGTATCAGTATCATAACCAGAATAATCAGGACCACGTATACGAATACCACTTGATGGTAATGTTG